ACCAAAACCTGAGCTTGCACTTCTGCTTATAACTTAACTTGCAAAATTGCATAGCATGAAACTACTGAGCTCCAAGGCTTTTGATGGGAAAAAGCTTTCCCTCCTGGCTTTTCCCAAAGGAGATTTATTCTGTAAAAACAATGTTGTATAACACTTTCTGCCTCAAAAGCAACTCATGTAAAATTAATTGCATTGCACTATTTTTGTGGAAAAATACTTTTTACTACAATTTGAAGAGAAAAAAGCATTATACAATGAATGCTATAACAGAAAGAGTTATAAGTTGCCTCAACAGCATTTATAAATCAAATCATAGCACATCAGTAATTTTAAAACTAACCTACATCAAGCTTTTTTGGAATAATGCACAAGTAAACCAGATTTTGAGTAACTGTATTTTTCATAAGTTATGGCTGATGACGAAAAATGTGGATTATTTGTTAAAAAATACAAAAAGATATTATTTTCTTTCATTTTTAAGAGAATAAATTTTGTATGTTATGTTGTTTTCTGTAGCATTTTGGAAGTAATACAGAAGTCGGAATCCTTAGACATTTTGTGTCTCTCTTCAACTGAAAATATTTTAACAAGAAATCACTAATTGCATGCCCTATCCTCTTTACAGACAGACAGGGATTTCATCCACAGAAATTAATAAATTGTGAGGAAAACAGGCACTTGTGATCATCTAGGCTCACCTGCTGTTTTACACTGGCCAAAGAAGAGATTTATTCCTTGCTGAATACTTCTTTCATACCTTGAGCAAGAAATCTGTATGATTCATATTTCCACTACAGAACACATTAAAAAAAAAAAATGCAGTACTGATGTGCATGTTGAAGAGACTGAAGATTCACCCAGAAGATGCCCAACTGTTACTTACCACCCCTTGACTGACTGTCAAAATATGGGCCAAATTTCTTGGCTAAATTTGCATAATTGTGGCCTTCAGCCACCAGCTCCTGTAAGCTCTGCTTAAGCTTGGGTAAAGACCTCTCTGTTCTGAGAAATCCTCTCCTGGGCTGTAGAAGGGTCTCAGGTCAGGCTCTCATGGCTCTGTGTGTGACCAAGCCGTGCTGTGTGTGAGGATACACACCGGCCTCCTTGGGCAGGAAGGAAGGAAGACCCTGGACTCTCTCATTCAAATTGGCCCACATACCCAGACTCTTGCCCTCTCATGGACAGTGCACAGAGCACTCCTCAAAACGTAAATGCCTTTTGTCTGCCTGCTGCCATCAGATCAGTTCTGTTTACTTGAGTACGGTCCCAGTGTGCCTCCTCTGAGCATTTATATACTACTTTTAAGGACAAATGGTTGGGCTTGTAGCAGAGGTTTAAATTAGCTTTCCCTACTAACTTCATTTTGGTCCCTTTTTTCAGCTGTCACAGGTTTTTGTCTATAAATCACTGGTGCCTGCTGTCCTGCCAGAAGCAGTCTGGGGACATTTTGTAGAGTAACTGGAAAAACATCTTGAGACATGTTTGTGTTTCCTCCCTTCTCTCTCCATCCCCAAAATTTGAAGCCTCTTTTACATGACATCTCACCTCAGAATTAATTTCTGTACCGAGAACAAATGCGGGGAAAAATATCATAGAATCATAGAATAGTTAGGGTTGGAAAGGACCTTAACATCATCAAGTCCCAACCCCCCTGCCATGGGCAGGGACACCTTGCACTAAACCATATTACCCAAGGCCTCATCCAACCTGGCCTTGAACACTGCCAGGGATGGAGCATTCACAACCTCCCTGGGCAGCCCATTCCAGTGCCTCACCACCCTAACAGGAAAGAATTTCCTCCTTATATCCAACCTAAACTTCCCCTGTTTCAGTTTTAACCCATTACCCCCTGTCCTATCACTACAGTCCCTCATGAAGAGTCCCTCCCCAGCATCCCTCACACTATTATTTATAGCATCATAGAATGGTTTGGATTGGAAGGGACCTTAAATATCATCTAGTTCCAACTCTCCTGCCATGGACAGGGACACCTAACGCTAGACCAGATTGCTCAAAGCCTCATCCAACCTGACCTTAAGCACTGCCAGGGATGGGGCAGCCACAGTTTCATTTTTCTTTAAAATTCTTGAAGTTACTCCCTGGAAAAACTCATGTGCACCAAACTGCTAGCATAATGTCATATCCATAACAGAAAAAGTCCCCAGAGTAGGTTGACAACATTAAATAAAAGCAATTATAGTCCCATAAATAATCTTATGTTCAAAGCACGCACTTGCAAAATGAACTGCCAGTGTTGCTGACTCCTAAATTTACTTCAAATTTTACAAGATTAGGTATTTTTCTTCAGGACCCTGCTCCTGGGGAAGGGGGGGATGACTATGGGACAAAATGTCTGGGGTTTTCCTCTTCTACTGCTTTCTTTGATTAATTTTTTACTGCCTTTCCTGACAGTGGAAAAGCCCACAGTACAATGTGAATGTATCTTACAGGTTTAAAAAACTGGCAAATATGTATTTATTCTGTTCCTTTAAGCCTATCTTAAAGACGGGCAGCATCTTATAGTAACCATTCAGTTCACTTAATGTGATCGATCCTTCCCCAAAGTATAAGATGGATAAGAAAGCCAAAGGAAAAAATGTTATTTTCATTTTACAGATGAAGAATTAATTCACAGTCACTTATGCTGGATTCAAAACCTATAGATGTCAATTGATTGCTTGAGAGCCAAACACCCCTCTTTAAATTCCTGGCACCGCATTGAGCACAAAACATCTTTTCTTTCTAAATACAAAAACTAGTTATATATATCATCATTTTGCAGATTTTACAAAGCTTCCACTAATCTGAATAAGATTCATATGCATATGCAAGGATCTTATAGAAACTAATCCTCTGGAAGGAGTAACTGGTATTTAATGACATAGCATTAACCATCTAGTCACTCTGACTGAGTTTCTATTAGGTGGAGAAAGAAAGAAGTCTTCTCTCTGCCGTTACAATGTTGTCTGCCCCTTTAGATTTATTAATGTATATGTATAAATGCATTTGGTAAATCATAATAGTCTGAACTACTAACAAAATACAATAAGAGTATAAATACATACATTTTAAAATCTATGGTTCCTAGTCTATTCTAAATCCTGACAAGTAATAAGTACATGCAACCCTCATAATTACCTTACAAACAGAAAACAGGCCTTAGAAGTGCCATGTTAGGTCTATATCAATGTTATACTTAATTTAGCAGAAGATTATGCAAAATCCAGTAAAATGTTCTCATTCGCTCTAATAACAAACTGAAATTATGTTCACCAATACTAACAAGTGATCATGCAAGTAAGGAACTTCTGTACTTTCAGGGTTGCTTTAGGAAGGGATTATCACAGCAAATTAAGGGACCTATACAACCAGGTGAATGAGCATTCAGAATCCAAATTTTTTTAGGCAGTCTTGGAAATCTCAGTCTTGTACCATACTTGCACCAATCCCTTAGTGCTGTGAACGTAAAAAATAAGAAGGTCCATGCTGCTGGCCATGAACATGTAAATTAAACACAGATTCCTGAGCAGACACTTTCAGTTTACAGTTGTTATTGCTCCTCTGTGTGTATTTTACCTCTATATAGAGTACTTCACAATCACCACTTGTAACTCTCTTTCCACCACTTCAGGGGCAGAATCTGTGGTTTTGAGAGGGTGCATAAAATGTTCAGGTCCATAAAAATTCAGAGTAAAGATCAAAATTCAGTCTACTATTGTCCCAGCAGACTACAGTTCTTCCATGAAGGACTCCTGAAATGTGGCTCTTTGCCTAATTCTATTTCTTTTAATATATTTCTTTCAATGACACTACAGGAAAGCTTAGTTAAGAAGCAGTCTATGGGGTTTTTTGAAATCATATTCAGTATAGTATTTAGATAACTCATTTTTAATGACTGAGTAAATACCACTCAATAAATTAAATAATGCAAATACTCTCATTAGGACTGGTACTAATAGTCATCATATTTGTTTGACTATTTTGTCCATGTTTCCCTTTTGGCTAGGTTAAAAAAATTCTCAAAAACTGTTTTTCCCCATTAAGAATGAACAAATGAGACATCTACCTTTAGGCATACAAATAGCAAAACCACTCTTTAAACAATCAAGAACACTAGGATTCTGGTAGTATTCCACCCAGCATATTTCAAAGGCATTAAATTCGACATTTGAAGCCAACTTATCTACTGTTTCCAGCTGTTGCCAGTGAGGATAAGGAAATTTTTTATTATTATTTTTTTTCCTAGAAAAACAGTAAGTCTCAGAACTCTACGTTACTGAAAATTTCTGTAGTCCAAATAGATTAGGAATCATATTTTCATGGCACGCAGGAGCTCAGCTCTTCTGCTGAGGGACAATGAATCACAAAAACCATGATGAAAATATTTATGAAATGTTTTCTCAACTGCTCTTTACTGTGTTATAAACTTCCTTCCCACCCAGTCCTCTCATCCTACTTACACATTTAGACTGTAGTTTATATTTTTTCAAATTAACTTTTTTTTTTTTTTTTTTAAAAAAAAGCCTCTAACTAAAACACTTTGATTCAAAATATAATCTCTTAAAATTGCCAGGTTCCTGCCCAATCTGATAAGTAGAGTACAGTAGAATACATTTAGATACTAACAAGAAACCACAGCATTGCAGAGATGCTAAGCTTTACAAATGTATCAAAACTCACTATCCATTCTGAAGTAGACATTCACATACCATGTTCTAAAATAAACAGTCATCTAAGTGTCAAGAGACAGCCTAAGGACATAGCTTGAGTCCACATAGCAGCCAGGAGGTCTCAAAGAAACCTGTTTTGGATTATTTGTAAAAATCCTGGAGAAAAACAGCCAAGGATTGTGACTAATGAGAAGTTTTTAGTATCTCCCAGAGAAAATACTGAAAGTATTTCTGTTACAGAATAAGAGCAGAGCAGAGTGAAAACTGAGTCCCTGAACTGGCACCATGTGAACCAAGAACATCCCCACTATGCTGGAATAATACACTCACCTTGTCCACAATGCAAATCTGCTTCTTGCTTTGCACATCGAGAATTTCCACTTCAAAGTAAGTGATTTTTGAATGTTTGAGCACTTGTGGTGGTTTGAGATTGCCAGAGGAGAGCGCAAGTTGAGAGAAGTTGAAAAAAGAGCGTGTATCATTGTGGGACATGGACGGAGCTCCTCCATGAGCTGCAGGATCCCCCTTGTGTTCTGGAGTGCAGAGTTTCTGCCCCCTGTGCATGGTGTGACCCAGCAGCAGTGATCGTCATATCAACAAGGGACAGTTCCAGGGGGAAAATATTTCCTCCCTGCATCAGTTAAATACAATCACAGACTGATGAGACACAAAAGGTCAAGTGGTGTTCCATTTTAAGAGCACTGTCTTATTTAGCAGGAGTGAAAACAATGGCTCTGTAATCCATGCCTATATTTAACCTACTATTGTGATGTGCTGCATTGCAGCCGCTTTTAGGTTTTTTTCATTTAAACCACCATTTGAAATGACACATCTAGAGATTCCCCATTAAAAGTCAGATCCTAAAATTCCAGAGCCCCAAAGGAATCACAAATGAATGCAGCAAATTCCACTGTTATCTACTGAGACAGATGTTTAAAAGTGACCACACATACATGTGTATGTGTATATGTATATTTTATATATGTGTGTGTGGGTATGTATGTGCCCTTAGTAAGTATCTACAAAATTATATCACATTTCATCTATTCTAGAAATATTTATTAACAAAATACCAGGAGTTCTTTAGCACAATTTAGCAGTTGCTTGCCAATAGAGAGAGGATCTCATACCTGCTTGTTTTTGGTACTATGGACTCTCTACTATTTAATAGGGTAGAGCTTTCCTTGCAGCTGTTCCAGGGAAACCCAACTGAAGTAAAAGAAATTATAACCATAAAGGCACTAATTCAGGGCTTGGATAATTTGACTGTTTCCTTATTCTTTCCTCACAATTCATTTTCACAATGAAAAGTCTGCAGCAAAACAAAAGTAGCCTAAATGGTAAAAATAAGGATTACTTAAAAAAAATATAATTCTCTAAAAGTGCTTCCGCAAACCTTGTTTATACTTCATTTTTCCTTGTATTGCTTTTTAATAGGATTTAATACAACTAGCAACACCTTTCCATCCTGACATTCTGGGCTACTTAGGTTTACAGTGCTAGAAGGGCACCACAGATTTCTGAAGACAGGTTTTTCCACTGGAGACACAGAGTAAGTTCTGAATACATTTATATGTGGGAAGCTACAATCACTATTATAAAAATCACATAGGTTTGTTATGCTAAAGAATTTTAATTAAGTAAAATAAATGTTCTATAAGATAAAAATGACCACACGACTAATACACACTCTGGGTGGCAGGGTGGTAACAGAACAGGTCTCTTTTCTTTGGTTGTGTTATAACTTACATAAAAATTTAGTGGTCACCACATCTTGCCTAGCGACACACAGAACAGAATCATAGAAACCCTATTAAATAATGGAGAAACTAATTGATAAATTGTTGCAAGAATTACAAATGAAAGCTAAGGGACACACACAGACACACATCCCCAAAGGAAGGCAATTTCCAAACTAAAGTTCTTCTGCTAACAATATTTACAGATATAATCATCTTCATATGTATGAGTTATCTAGTTGCTGTCAGTGGAATAATCCATGCTACATCAAGTTGTATATGCGCTTAAGTTCTTGAGAATCAAGCCTGCATACATGAAATATGCCCCCATTATAGACACATGGAAGAGACAGAGGAGAAAGAAACAGCAAATTAGAGGTGCTGAACTCATAAAGAAGGTCTGAGCTTGGTAGTAACAGGACTGGGCAGTTGAGATGACAAAATGCTTGCAATGCCAAGAGCTTGTATAATTTATTTACGATTCTGCAGCCAGTTTTAACTGAAGAGGCTAACCGAATTCCTAATTAAGATGCTTTACGTCCACATAGAATCACAGAATCATAGAACAGTTAGGGTTGGAAAGGACCTTAAGATCATCTAGTTCCAAACCCCCTGCCATGGGCAGGGACACCTCACACTAAACCATGTCACCCAAGGCTCTGTCCAACCTGGCCTTGAACACTGCCAGGGATGGAGCATTCACAACCTCTCTGGGCAACCCCTTTCAGTGCCTCACCACCCTTACAGGAAATAACTTCTTCCTTATATCCAATCTAAACTTCCCCTGTCTAAGTTTTAACCCATTAACCCTTGTCCTATCACTACAGTCCCTAATGAAGAGTCCATCCCCAGCATCCCTATAGGCCCCCTTCAGATACTGGAAGGCTGCTATGAGGTCTCCATGCAGCCTTCTCTTCTCCAGGCTAAACAGCCCCAACTTTCTCAGTTTGTCTTCATACAGGAGGTGCTCCAGTCCCCTGATCATCCTCGTGGCCCTCCTCTGGACTTGTTCCAACAATTCCATGTCCTTTTTATGTTGAGGACACCAGAACTGTACACAATACTCCAAGTGAGGTCTCACGAGAGCAGAGCATAACAAAATTCTCTGTAGCTAAGGTCTGAGAGAAAAATTCCTGTTACTTGTTGATGCAGTCATGCAGCCTTTGAATGCTTTCACTGGCTTTTTTACTGGAAAGCCCTGACTGTGGGAATGCAGCTGCCTAACAATACTGGTCAACTAATACAAATTAGAATTAAATTTTGGCTATATTGAAATCATATACCATTGATGCAAAACATGTCAGCATCTAAAGAAAAAAGGAGTTACAACTGAAGATTATATTGTGATTAAAGACATACACCTGTCTCAGACTTTAGATGAAAAGTGTTCAAGGAATCCTTGGTGGAGTCAATATAGCAAGCAGAAATTTTGGTATAAGCTAGACAGAACACAGAGAGTGACAAATTATTGGCTAATCGTAAGCGGCTTGCTAAAAAAAGGCAGGTAAAGACCACATAAAACACAGGTACTAAATTCCAGTTGTGAGATACACTTATTTGAAGACTATTGTAAGGCAACTGTATAAACTGCTGTAAAAGAGGTGAGACAAACGGATATAAATCCCCTTTTAGCCATAAAATCTATTAATCATTGAGCTGTAATAGCAGATATTAATACATTTCTAAATTTATTTCAATTCAAAAGCAATAAAGAATAATATTGATCATCATGGCTACTTTCTGTGTATAGAGGAAGTCATGTTGCAGTCATTACAGTGGGTGTATTTATAATGCTATTTAAAATTATAATATCTGAGCTGCTGCTTCAGAAGAAAAGCTTTCGATTTACTGCAGACATTGAAATGATCAAAATTTTATTACTGACCAATGAACACTCGACTATCTAAACCAATTCCAGGAAAATGATTACAAAAAATATATTTTTATTCTTTCAATCTAATATAATTATAAACAATTTCAATATTTTTATAAACAGAAGTCTTTACAGAGCCAAATACTTTGCTGACATAAACTAGTAGGGCTTCCCTGAAGGTGACTGGCCCTTTCCTCACTGTATGAAGTTATGGGTCTACAGCAAACATATTGCTTGAATATAAGGTGTGTGAAAGCTACACCACCAAAATAAACAGAGATAGAGTTACCACTGATAAACTAAGCTCTGCAAGGAAGATGCATAAAAGCAGTGGAGATTTTACCATTACTGTGACAAGGGCTGCACTTCTCTGAAATGTCATCAATGGGTTTGGATCTTCTAGCTCAATGTGAAGTGATTCAGCCCATTCTATGTAGAAGTCCACACAGAAGAGACAGATCAATTACTGCACAAAAGGCACATCTTCCCTTTCAATGCAGTTATATGTACCTCATCTCAGTCCCTGACACTGGTGATGGTAAATCTGAGCACATGAGGACAAACAGTCAGTCCTATGGTGAGATTCACTGATCCACACTACATGAGTATGAGCTGCTGTTCCTGCAACTATGGCAGGGCTAGTAGCCAGCAGGCAGAGTTCCTGACCTCAGCTTCATTCTGGGACTCTGAAAGGGGTCAAAGAGAACTCAGAAAGAATTAAATCATCTGTGATAGCTTCAGCTCAGACTGAATTTCCTGCCATATGAGGAGCCAGTATTTCTGTGGGGCCACAAGGATGGGCATAACTCTTCTCAGACTCTGGCTCTAGCTCCTCTCCTCACTTGGCACCTGGCTGACAACAGCCATTTTGGGGACAGGCAGCCATTTTGTTAAGCCATCCTTCTGAAAGGCACTTTTTCCAGGAGGGGGGGAATGCCTTACCCTAAAGTATGAAGCAGGGCTATAATTTCTGGTTAACTCAACTGATGATATTTTCACAACAAAAGTAATACATGTAGTAGAATTTCTGCTTTCTTCTGTTACAGCATCTTGGAATGACCATGAACCTGTGGAGGTCATGACAAAACAGGTAAAAAAGCACTGGGCAGGGACTAAGACTCAGCATTCAGTTTCTGCTTATGACACTAATTTCCTGTGAGGTATTATGGAACTGCTGTTTTTCCTGCTTTTCCCTCTGTGTGAGGCACTCTTGCACTGTACATTTTATAGACAGCCTGGTGCAAGGGGATTTTACAAGATCTGAGCTGGGACCTTAAGGTGCTTCTTAAGTTTCTTTTCATCTTTGGCCATGTTTTTTACTTCTTCCCCAGAGAACTGGTCACCTTCTTTCAGTCTGGAGAATGTCAACTGTTAAGTCAGCAGCAGAGGGTCATCTCTGTCAGTCCAGACACTTGTCAGCAGCCCCTCACACATCGCTTTTTATCCCACACATTTCAAATGCTTGGTGGATGCTTGGTTATTCTTTTCCCACCAGCTTTGTGATGCCAAAGAACTAAATATTCTCCCAAGATACAAGACACCAGAGCCCAAAGTACATGGGGCTTGGTACTGCAGGTCATGCAGCCTAAAGCAAAGCAGATTCCCAAAGTCACCCATATTCATTTCACTGTCCCCTGTTTGGAGATTCTGCTGTTCATTTTTCTGAAGAAGGAGATGCTGGGCCAAAGTGCTCAATTGTGTTGCAAACAGCAGTGAGATAGATCACCTTGCTAAAGAAGGTCTGAACAAATAGGTTCACGTGATACATACCGTGCCCCGCAGCCTCACCACCCTTGTTTAGTAGCTGCGCATTCCATGTGCCTAGTACTGTGCTTGATCTGGTCAGTGCTGCTCCACCTCTCCCCATTCCAGCCTTAGACTTTGTATTTTCAGAGCCAGGCAAGGGTGTAGCTATGCTTTTAGTCTCTTTTTACTGATCTGTCCAAGGAAGGATTTAAGAACCTGATACAATGTACTCACTTGGAGAAAAGCTACCAATAACCTGTTTGTCTGGCTCCTGG